TGCTAGTTCTTTATTTTGCTAGTTCCCGGGTTTTTGATTGTGCATATCTGTTCTGGTTTTGTCCCTTTTTGCCCCTTTTCCCTTTTTCCTTCCGCTTCCCCTTTTTGGGAGCGGTTTGGGGTTCCTGTGTTTATATGTACATAGTATTTTAACTGTATATATCTGTGATATATGTAAAAATACAAATATTTTTGCTATAGCTTTTGCTATTCTTTTTGTTTGTTTGTTTTGGGAGGTTTTCGCTGTAGTCTGTGGGGTTTGGCAGGAAGCCAACTATAACCGGCTACATCCCTATGGCCAACCCCTCCAGGCGGGGTGTCTGACCCACCAGCCACTCTGGGGGTTCCAGACCAGGGTGAGGGGCAGTGTTCCCACTGTCCCTGCCGATCTGAGGCTGGGTTATGAGCTCCAGGAGGTGTTGGGCATTATAGTTTTCCCGGGCCGTTTGTGACTGACAGCTACTCCATAGAGTCTCTTATATGGCTTTTCCAGTCTTTCCTTCTTTTCCAATGCGCAAGAACAAAGCATTCTTACCACTTGCCTAAGAAACATTTCCTTTTACAGTGATGTAAAGATATGTTTGAAACTTCCCTTCCAGAAAGCCTAAGGACACGGGAGAATTTTTTTTCTGCCCCAGTCCTTAAGGTCTATCAAAAGCCAGAACAGTCAGTGAACAAGCACCTACTGAGAACTGGGGCTACCTTGAAAGCCCAGGATAGAAAAAAAGAGAGTTTTGAGACTTTTTTCCTAACTTTTTTACAATCAATGTAATTAATACCTTTTTGCTGAAGTGTGCAAATTTGACACCTCTTTCACCAAAGACTGGCCACATTTTAAACCACACTAAATGCTGCCATCTAATGGTACCTGATCACTGAACAAAAGCTGCTGGCTCAGTCCAGCTCTCAAAGAACAAAATAAAGAGTTTCACCTCACAAGCATCACTCTGCATGAAACAACACAAGCTGGACAGGAGCAGGTCTCAAGCAGAGCCACCAAATATCTCTGCATCCCTCTGCCCAGTGCGGCAGCTCCCGAGTGCAAATTCCTGAGTTATCCTAAGAGGTCTGCAAAACTTCTTCATCAACCTTTTTTTCTGAACTGCACCTGGTTCTGGAAGTAATCAGAGAATCATTAAGGTTGGAAAAAACCTCTAGGATCATCAAGTCCAACCTTTAATCAAACACCACCATGCCCACTAAGCCACAGTACTAAGTACCATATCCACTTGTTTTTGGAACATTTGCAAGGATGGTGATTCCACAAGTTCCCTGGGCTGCTGAGGCTCAGTCATAACAAAGCCCCTTCAAACCATACTGTATTGGAACTCTTAAACTCTTAGCTTTCTTGTGCCTTTATTTGTCTATAAAAGAACTTAGATTTGACTGTCATATTTAATAGTATTTAACACAGGAAATGACAGAAAAAATGAGTAATTACCTTATTGTTCCTGCTATTCTTGGTCTCAAAATGTTAAATCTTTTCTGGTTCCCTGTAAAAAGTGAAACATTTTCATTTCTTGTGCTAATAGGTAGCTACTTTTGGAAAATTATATTACCCCTCCAAGAACAGATTATGTCTTGTAATAAACGAAACTGAAGATAGTCCTTACAAAAGAGACAAAAACATGTTAAGCATCTGAACTCTTTATTGAAGAATCTAAACCAGTCGCATTTTATTAGTAGTTCTGAATCCACCATGACACTTCATCTGAACAACCTAAACTGCAAAAGAATCACTAAAATATTATTACACAATATTCATGTATTTTTTTTCAGAATCAATCAAATAAACGCTTCCTCTAGCTTTTATTAAATGCTGTCTCATAAGATATACCATGAACTCCTTTTCAGAATACTAAGTAATGCTTTCTATGACATTTGAATTAAGTATAATGATGAAATTTATGTACAGTAATTCTTAATATTTTCTCAAGTAATATCTCTTGGTAGCTATGATTATGACAATTTTCATACGCTGAATGATGCAAAGAACAAATTATATAGAACTTTCAAGCACAGGCAACTGAGGATGATCTGGTAAATCCATTTAAGTAGACATATAAAATTATTATGCATAACGAATCCACCCAAAGATGCTAGGAGGTGGATATTGCCCAAAACATCAAAATTAGAGGCTGGTTATACTTGAGTGTCTTGAGTGAGCTCTGTTACAGAAGTGGAGTACTTATTTAATTTTGCTACAATAAAGCCTGGTTGGGAAATTTAGGTGCATATATAAACACACCTCCAAAATTCTTAAGCATAAACAAATCCACCCAAACATGCTAGGAGGAAGATGGTCCAAAAACCATCAAAATTAGAGGCTGATTATACTCAAGTGTCCTGAATCAGCTCTATTACAGAAGTGCAGTAATTATTTCATTTTGCCACAATAAAGCCTAGTTGGAAATATTGGTTATCTCTAAAGAGATTTACATTATTCTAGAGCCTTGTGTGTTTATAAATCTGTGCTTACAACTGATCTTTTAAGAATTTCTTCCATAAACACATGAACTAGGGCAAAATTGGCAGGTGAAAAAATTAACCCATCGACTCCACTAGCTGAGAAAAAATTCTACAGTTTGATTTTCCTCCAATATTTATGACATAGCTGTTCAGATCCTAATCATTTTAAGGAGAATTTGAAAATTTGAACAATCACAATACTTGAAGGCTGCCATCGTTATTCTAAATTTAGAGTATTATACTCTGGGATTCACATATTGTCTCCATCTGAAAATCAGTGACTTTGCTTTAAATGTCAAAAATGCTGCAGCCTGGGATAACCTTATGTGCCCAGCTTATTTGTGCCAGCAAAAGTATCATAAAGTCAAGGGAGAGATATGGAAGAAACAGGCCGTGATTTATGTATCTTCCTGCCACTACTTTCATTAAGCATTGATACAATAAGCCTTTGCTTCTCCCGTGTTTCTTCTCCAAAGACAGCACTGGTCTGCCTGTGATGGCTTAAGAAAGATGTATTTTTGAAAGAACGCTGCATCAAATACCTCCTGAAGGCCCTTTGGATAATAACTGCTGATACCTCCTCTTGTTTTCTTTTAAGAGTGGAAGAAATTGGATTCACAACCGCAGTATTTTTTTCAATGAATAATTCAAGACTATCCAAATCTCCAAATTCTCCCAAGACCCTTTTAGTGAAAGCACGCAAGATATCCAAGCAGTGGATCTTATCTCCACTCACTAGAGGGAGGTCCATGGATATGAGCTGG